ACCTAGGCTTAGAAACCTTGGACCATAACTAAAAATTAATCTTGTAACCTCCAAGTCCCCAGTGGAATCGCCACTGTAAAGAGGGTGTTCCTATCGTATGGTATCTTTCTCCTTGAATGCACATGGCCCTTTAAAAGCCCAGGACTTTACACTTGTTAGGTGTATTAGGATTTGAATTACTGACTGTTTGGGGGAGCTTGAATTAGAATTGATTCTTTCATCACGCTTTTTTATAAGAGACAAGTAGAAGTGGCCAATGAGTTGTAGGAAAATTCATAACCTTCGTTCATGCCTTTCTCCCAAGTAGTGTTTAAGGGATATTTAGCACGAATCTTAAGATTATCCATGCCCAAATTGGTGTACATGAACCAGAAATGAGTTCAGGAGCGAGGGTACCAAGATAACGCTCCCTTTAGAGGGGAATCGCTATCCTAGCCCTAGTACGACCTCTACTAGATCTTCCTTTTTCACAATTTCATCACCAAACAATATATGCAACATGATACCTAAAAAAACTAAGTTGATTTTATTTACACGCATCAATCGTGTAGGAATTACATTGCAAAAGTCGTATTCTTTTTTAATCAATATTCGTGAAAAGAACAAAATAAACAAGATTCGCCTTGGATTAAGTGGTCAATCAACAATTAATTAATCAATTATGTTCTTTATTTAACACAAGATATTATGTGAAATTGATTTATTAAAGTTTCGTTTAAAGTGATCAAACAACACTAATTAATTAATTAATTAAAGTTATTTTAAACAAGAAAATAATGGTGATTGATCTAAGTGCTCGGGATTGTACACTTGCTATATCTTCGTTTAGAACACTTATGGACACCTTCCTGTTCAGGAACCTCCACCGTAGTAACAAGTATTAAAGGGGGTGAGTGTTTAGGATAAGAGGGTTTGGTAGCACACAAGTACACAAAGTTTCTACCAGAGATTTAGGTTAATTTCTATCTATTTGAGCCTCGTATTAAGCCTCTATTTATAGATAATGGGTGTGTTTATGGTTTTGAGCATTCTGCCGGAGCAGGTGTCGCGCGCATATGAATGGGTTGTGCGCGACAGCCCAGCGCAAGTGATTAAGATGCGCTGCTATATGCGGCGCAACTGATGATCTTGTACGCAGTATTATGGTAAGATTTTATATTTTTATGAAATTCTAAATCTTCCACAAGCGCATCACTAGCAGTTGCGCTGGGTGTCGTGCGCAACTACTTAAGTTGCGCACGCCAGACCAGCGAGACTCACTGAGGTGCGCGCTAATTTCTCTGCAGCAGCATTGATTTTTAACCTAGACGCCTCTAAATCAGTCGTAATTAGGTTTTAACCTCGAGCTTAAGCCTAATTATGATCAGGCTTAGTTGATTGGACCTTATTTCATTTGTTTTTTGGGTTAGGCTTGTCAATTTTGTGTTCTTGTGATTTAATTAGTTATCCATAAGTATTCTTTACGTTGATCCAATTTGAAGATGGTTTTTCCTATTTATCGTCATACCACTTCTTGTCGAGACGGGAGGCCAAAAGTAGATGTCTACAATGCCTTTTGTCTAGGTTCTGCCATTGTCATGTGGAATGCTCGTCGCGTTTCTCGCCCCTTATTTAAGTCCAATGTCTAGAAAATTCTCTCTATTCACAAGCCTATTTTATTTATTATTGTTGAGGCAAGAGTCTATTGTGAGTCATTTGAAGAGGTTTTTAATTCAATTGACTATGAGTTAAATTGGAATTTGGATGAGAGTGTTAGGTTGATGTGTGGTCTTGCTGTGATATGGGACGAGAAAGAAGTCAAACCAGATGAGTTGCTAGTCACGTTAACAAATGACTGTCCAATGAGGCTCCTAGGCCGTATCAAGGTAATAGGCTTTTAAAATTAAAATTACCTTTTATTAACTCTATGTATGAGGCTAATTACATTTATTAATGCAATTTATTACATTGACACAGTCGACCCCTAAAGAAGATGAGGATGGAGCAGCTGATGAAGCCCGTGCCAAAGATGAGGAGGGAGGTACTGCTATAAAGGGAAAAGCTGATGAGGACACTGCATCTGAAGAGGAGGAAGCAACTGATGAGGAGGAAGCATGAATAATTGTGGGGTTAACTTGGAGATTGTCTTGGTTGGATTCTCTCTCCTATGTTTCTAATGTCACTCGTATGCATTTTGGTTTGTATTAAGATGGAACTCGTTCAATTAGTAGTACCTTTATGACTTATTATTATTATGTATTAATTATGGTATAATCATGGGTAGACCATGTTAACCATGTTTATGTAATGTTCAAGTGAAGCTTATTTATGTTTTTGTTTAATTTATGTAAGTTTGTCAAACTTGTGTGGTTTAATTATCTACTTCATTATTGCATGCATATGGTTTATGTTGAAAAAGCATTGCGATTCGATTTGCAATCGGAACTGAAACAGATAATTTAACATGATATTAGGGATCACATATAACTTGATGCAAAAGGTAGAGATCATTTTTCCTACTTTTAATTAACTATAAGTAAAGTAGAGGAAATACAAGTGAGACAAAAGTTATTGGTATTAAAGTGTTTTTAAATATATCATACACTAATATGTTTTGAATAAAGGTCTTAAAGTGTTCGCTTCTGTAAAAAAAATGTACTACTTCCTTAACCAAACCCACAGTAGTCAAGTTTATGTGAATGGCCCAAATAAAGTGGTTTCATAGTTCACAATTATTATACACATTATTAGTAACACAACAAATCTAACTGAAATGTTAAATTTACAAATAAGCGTTTTCTTTGTTCTTAATCGGTAAAACAAAGTATATTACAACAATGTTACACCAGATAACATGATAATGTCCTCATTTTGGCGAAATGACGATGTTCCTTGTATAACAGTGAAAAGGAAGAATTTTAAAACAATACTCATATAGAAGAGCAGCCACCTGCCTTATAACACACAGCTACATGTCCAAAAATAATTTCACCAATCAGTTATAAGCTTTTTGTGTATTCATTCAAAGCTACACATATCACTTGTGCTTAATACTTACAACGCTGCTAATGTAATGCAAGATTGGTGTACCATTACCAAGTCTTAGCAACCAAACATCTACAGGATTTCCAACTTTGGCAAGAAGCCAGAAGTTGCTTAAGAACGGAATTTTGTGTGCATCTCCGCAGTACATCTAAGGGTCAAATAAAGAACTATGATATTAATGGAATGAATAAATTATGCACTTTTATAATGAAACCATCACGCATTTGATGAAGCAGTACTTGAAACCCAGACCTCTGAAATCAGGGCCATAAATGTGGTCGACAGAGTGTGCACAAACTTATTCAGGATACGTATAAAAGAGCATAATCCAACAGCCCCAACAGAAGAAAACACAACCTTTGTCTGCAACAGTCATAATTAGCATATCGAAATTAAAATGAACCATCAAAAAATTGTCCAGCTTTGTTGCACAAAGCTAAGGAAGCAATTACCTGCACAGACTCACCCATTTTCGAAGGGTTCCTAAATCGTTCACTCGGTTGCATAACATACAACCTACCAAACTAGGTATTCCAAACATAAGACCATAAAACCTAAGAAAGAAATTGAATGTGAATAACCAAGATTGATTTTACAACATACTTACCCACGCCGAAAGACATACACCGAAAAAATAGACCGGACCAACCTCGGTCCAGACCGAATTAATCGGTCCAGTATTCGAGTCTTGATATTTAATTATCCGGTCTTTGGTCCGATCCAAAACCCTAGTAAAATTAGACTTGGACCGGACCTATTTTTTTATTAAAAATATAAGCGAAATCTTAAATAATGGTTATGATTATCGTTAATAAGATTAGAAAACTTTCATTTTATAAGCTTTTTTTGTAACAAACATACAAAAGAAGACATTTAAATATAGTTTTTCCTTTACTTTTTTCGTGTACCCATAACTTTATTAAAAATTTAGATTTTTTTTAAAATTCTTAAATTGGTCCAAAGCGGTCCGGTCCGTGTTTTAGACCGATTCTTTCGGTCCGGCCCGGGTTCGGTCCCAACTTAATCGGTCATTCTATGGTCCAATCCGGGTCGGTCCGGTCTGATCTTGGACCGATGAACTGCCCTAGCTCAGTGCATTAAAATGTAAATTAAATAAAACTAAAGCAATTAATACTTAATTCCAGTCATCTAATACACTGATATCGACCACGTTACCGGTAAACCAACACGATGACCCACCCAACTTGCCGGAGACCTTACAACCACAACCCACTTCTCGTAACAATGCCGGAAAAGCGTTCAAACACTCCGGGTTGCCGGATTCACAGACCCTTCGTACTATTTTCTCAATCTACCTGTACACTCGCCTCTTTTATACAATCACAATTATCACCATGAAATCATGAATGAACCTCAATAATTTGTATGACACATTCTCTCTCCTAGGTTTCCATTAGTCTACTTGGGTCAAAGATAACGGTCAATAAAAACAGGCGAGTGACCACAGTATTCCACATATACCCTTACACATAATTGCGAAATGACAATTACCCCCCCCCCCCCCCCCGCGAGAAAACACCAAACGTTGATCTATAAGATGAACTTGCAATCTCCACTCTTTCTTGGCTCGAGTAAGTATTACCCACTACCATGGTATGGGTAATACTACCCAATACAACAATTTTATTTTTCTTTTTCCTTTTTTTCCCTTTCCTCTTCATCTTCTTCCTTCCTTAAACCCTTTTCCCCAACTCCATGGATAGCTTCAATTGCCGGCCAAACCTCCGCCCACCTCACCTTCACCTCCGACAGCAAGAAGCCCACCCCACTAGCTACTACCTTGGTCGAAATCCAAAAACATGCAATTACCTTCATTAAAAATTACCGGAAACCACCAAAAAAACATAACCCAAAAACAAGAGACACAAACTTATGACTCTAGCCATTAAAAACGGCAAGTTCTATGCTGGAAATCGCTGAATTCGGTCGAAATTGATGCCGGTAGTTTTTTGTCGGTGCTCAATTATTATAGAGAGGCTGCATTTTTACAACATGGGTAGGTTTTACGTAAAATTACATTTTTGCCCCTGGTAAGGGTCCATACCTGGTAGTGGTCTATCACTACTCTTCGTGGCTCTGCCTCATTTGAATCAGAAGGGGAAAAAAAAAAATCTGTCCGCTTTTCTCTCACTCTCAGTTTCCCATTGAATCGCACTCCACATTCTCCGTTGATGCTACTATTGATATATTCCATTTAAGCACCTTTAAGGTAAGAATATTATTTCTTTAACCATGGAATTTCAATTTCACAATCTAGGGTTTATCGTTGATTTAATTATCAATATACTCAATTTAGGGTTCCTCTAAACTAGATTATTAAACCATGTTTATTATAATTACTGAGGTTATGAAAGCTTAAAACTTCTGTAAATCCCCTTTTTTTGTAAAAAAAAAATAAAATTTGATTTAATCAAGACTTGGGTAGAGGAAATGGAAGTCCCTGATAATGCACATTCTAGTACAGCTGAAAGTGGAATTTGTGTAGAAAGTGGTATTGGAACAGAATAGTTTAGGGTAATTGTATGGTTAATCATAAGTGGGTTTGCTGAGCATATGAGTAGTAAGGTTGGAATAGGTAGGGAGAATTATTTAGTGAAATTGTATGGATTGAAATATTGTAGTATGGGTAGTTTTATGAATAAAGATGATTTGGGTAGTTCTGAACTTGCTGAATTTAATTCACAGTTCACCCAATTTCGGGTTCTTTTAAACTCGGTCCAATTTTTATAATTATTTAATTACTAAGGTTATGAAAGATCATAACGACTGATTTTGTTGCTATAGAAGAGATTATGTGTTTTTCGAGCTTAATTTGATGTTTGAATCAAATTTGCCGGATGGAACTAATGAAAATTGACCTTTTTCTCTAAAATTATGAGCCTAGCTTGATGGTTGAATCAAATTTGGTTGTTATTGTGTTGCAGAACCCTTTAGTGATAAGATTGAACTATGATGTTGGGACTTTTCTCCATGCCCTTGGGCGACTGCCCCTCCTGCCCTGGTTCAGGGACAGGCTTTGGTATAATCACTTATATTTGGTTGGTTTGAATAATTTGTTTGCGGTGGGTTTGTTTTCGAAGAAGTTAATGAACTGATTGTAATGCAGAGTATTTTAGTAGGTTATTAGATGATGAGAAGGAATCACTGATTGGTTTGGTTTCGTGCTAATTTGTTAGAAAACGAAAGGATGCCTCTAGGATTGATACTTGGGCTTGGAAGGGCAATGCGCAGAAAGCGTACATCATCACTTGATATCCTTTCTTCGAAGAGGGCCCCAAGGAATTACTACAAGGGAAAGAATTGCAAGCCCACTGGATTTCACACCCGCAAAGGTCTGAACCATCTTTAGTCCTGTGTGTTTTTTGTCTTTGATAATTTGTATGTGAGTAACTTGATATATTTTCTGTTGTACACAAATCATATTCTGGCTTACCTTATGTAAGCTTCCAATAGGATCATTCAGCAACCTGTCTTTGTCTATGTACAGCTCTTGGTTTGTCGTAGTAACTTGAACTTTGTTACAGGTGGTTATGTTGTGGTGCTAGAAAAGCTGCCTAACTATGTCGTACCTGACCTTACTGATTTTAAGGTACTGTACGTCTGTATCTCATCTGCACTAGCAATAATCTTATCTTTTGTTGAGAAATTTTGATCCTATCTGATAACAAACCCAGCTCTTGGGGAATGGGGCAAGGGCATTAGATGATAAGGGAAGTCATGTCATTCTTGCAGGTTAATGAGTAGATTCATCTTGTGATGATAAGTGTTTGTATGATAAAAGTGTATCAAATCGACTCAAATGATGTAAAAAAAAAAAGAATTTTCAAAATTGATTCTGGATTAGGGATTTGATAGATTTATTTGGATGAATTTGTAGATTGTAGGCTAAGATGGGAGCTGAATTAGATGATAAGCTTAAGCTTTCTTCTGGTGTAAAATGATAAAATCTGTAAGTTGAATGGTGATAAATCTGATGATTCAGTAGGATTGATGATGATGCCATGAAATATGTGAAACCCCTCTGTAGATCTCGTTAATTGTCTCTTGCAATATTACAGTCTGGCAACATTTCTTCTTTTTAACATTGTCAAGTGCCGTATTTGTCGGTCATTTATCTGCATTATGGTACTATGCTAATCTTATTTTAATTTGGATGGATGTTGCAAAATTTTCTTCTTTCTATCATTAAATTCTTGTCATTGTAAAATCATGGTAAATTCTACATGGTGGCCTCCAGGTTTCAATTTTTCTATATGGAAGACAAACTTTTTTCCAACTCTCTTTAGTGGCACCCAAGATTTGAAAAATTAACCATAGTGCCCTTTTTTAAGTTTTATGGCTAACCTTTATGATTAAAATGGTTAACCTTTGATTTTTTTTAAATAAAAAATTATTATATAAACAATAAATTATTAAAAAAAATAATAATAATAAAAAAAAGGACAACAACCAACTCAGCCACCACCACACCAAGTCACTGGAACCTTAACCTGACAACCCAGCTGCCGCCCAGACCTCTTCCTCACCCTCTCCTTGCGTCGACCGGCCGATTAACCGCCACTCCTTTTCCGTTCCCAAATTCGACCACCCTAATCTGAACTATCCCCCTCCCCTTCTTCCCCGGCGACCCCAAACCCGAAACCCTTTGGGCTAAACCACCCCCAATTTGTTAGGGTTTGAGTTTCAAGTTTGGGTTGAGGGTTTTGGGAGTTGGTTCGCCATTTGCGGTGTTTTTGGTTGGCTGGTTCTAGGCTGGACTGGTGTTTGGTTGCGCTAGGTTGGTCAGCAGTGTTTGGGTGGGCTGGGTTGGTCGGCAATGGGGTTTGGCTGGTCGGCAATGGGGTTTGGCTGGTCAGCAATGGGGTTTGGCTGGTCGGCAAGTGGTTTAGAAGTGGGATGGGTTGGTTAACAATGGGGTTAGGGTTCCGGCGTGGTGGTGGTGGCAGTGGGGATTGGCAACTGGTTTTTTTTTTTATTTTTAATTTCTTTAATTTTTTAAAAAATTAATTATGGTTAACCAAAAACTAAAAAAGTTAGCCATAAATTTTAAAATGGGTACTATGGATAATTTTTCAAGACTTGGGTGCCACTAAAGAGAGTTGAAAAAAAGTCCGTCTTCCACGTAAAAAAATTGAAACCTTGAGGCCACCATGTAGAATTTCCCTAAAATCATTATCCTTATATTTAGAAACTCTGTACAATACAATCCCGCAAGCCTATAATTTCTATCTTAATTCTTTGAAGTTTCAAATGTTAAGATGATAATTTACTCTTTCTCCCTTTTCTAGCTACTATCTTTATAGTTGCGTTAAGCCCCTTGTTCTGCATTGCTGTTTCCTAAGTATTTGTAGTGATTTGATCTCTAGCACGTGTTGGCTTGCGTTCTTATTTTACCTCTGTGTTAGAGAAAGATCAAAAAATCTTATTTTGAAAACATAATTTTATGTCGTGAATTTTCTGCTTATATCTGGTTGTTGGAAGTTATTTGCATTATTGACTCAATCTTTGACTGCTGTGAATGTTTCTAACATGAATCAGAATACAAGTTTCCAGCAACATTTCTTTTCAGATCTCATGTTTACTTAGTACTCTGCCCACTCTGCCTTTCGTCTGAGCTCACACCTCTTTTTTTGCAGCTCAAGCCGTATGTGTCTCAGTGTCCACTAAACGCCAAGACAACTGCTAATACTGATGTATCAACATAGATTGACAACACTTGAATTATCTAAATCTTCTAGTAGTTTAGCTGCTTTGTAATCAACAATTCAACAGCTTCTGGATGTATGTTCATCAAGCAAAGACCTCAACGAAGCTGGGTTGGAAATCGACTGTCTTGTTTGTTTAGCCATTGTACTCGGTTTAAAAGAATGCAAGTTTTAGGGAAGCTGATGGTTTTGTAAACACTTCCTTGTTCTGAATATGGTTTGGAATTAGGGTAGAAACATTTCAAATTTTGCTATCCTTGTTTCTTAGGAACTGTAATCTTTTTGTTTCAACTTTAAACGTGTGATATTAGGGTATTCTATCCATCTAGAAATATTTATCAAATACCATTTTTGGCTCCTGCCTGCTGCCTCTAAATATATTATTGGGCTGTCATATGGAGTATTTCTTAAATTAGAAACAGATTATTTTATGGAGAGGACAGAGTGCAGGAAAGAAACAAAATTTTAAGAAGGTAGTTTTATTGAAGTTATTTGAGGGGTTAGTGAACTTGTGATGCAAGTCATACAACCTACTCCTCTCTATGTAATATGCAATGCAAACTAATCTTCTGCTATTTTCTATCTTAGCTAAACTTTTAGCCAGGCCACGAGGTAGCAACACTTGGCGTTTCAACTTTTTGCCAAGTGTCGTGCCACGTAGGATAGAGTTATATAGAATTCAATTTGTAGGATAAATAGTTAGTTTAGAATTTTATTTTCAATCAAATTTGGATAGAATTGTAGGATAAAATTGTTAATTTAGATTTTTATTTTTGATAAAGTACAAATATTTCATATGTGAAAATAGAATTATGATTTATTCAAAAAACAATTAGATTATAACTCTCATAAATTATCATATAAATTTAATTTTTGAATCATAATATTTTTCTGGAGCGAAGAAATTAGTTTAAAATGTACCACATCCATTGTATATAATATATTCTAATCAAAATATACTTCACAATATATCTTAAAATTCAATAAAAAACCCGGACATCGCACGGACACAAAACTAGTAGTCTAATAAAAGCAAAAATTGCCTTTGGAAATCAAATTGACAATTTTAACTTAAACCTTGGGTGAAGATTTTAAAAGATAATTAAAGGTTCTAGCTTCATGTATATACACCTAATTCTTAATAACTCCACTGTTTGGAAAGATATTCTAGGAAGAACAAAGTTTCGATTATAAATACATAAACACGGGTAATTGAAATGTTACCTTAATTTAGTTTTACCTATGGGTTTGGTAATAAACTTTGTATACCTCCGTTTTATAGTAGTTGCAACTTTAGGTATTATTTGTAGAGAAGGTATTGGGTGCGGCAAATATTTCATACGGCAACAACAAATTCAACAATCATCCCAACAACAACAATCACAAGCTGTGCAATATACAATTGAGCGGTGGGAAACTCGTCGGGATCAAATACGTCATCCATAGTGGAAGAGAGAGAAAGTTTAAGAGAATTGAAGAGGATGGAGAAGAGAGAGAAAATAAGGGTTGTTGATTATATTTGTTCATATTTTAAGCTTGATAATTGCTTGAGATTCTCAGATTTTTTTCAAAAATACCCAAAAAAAAAATTGAATTGGGGTGTTCTTGTATGATTTATAATTGTTGATATTGATTATCTATGGGATTGTATGATGAATTGTAAGTGTTTTGATAACAAATGCATGTATTTTGGTTGAGAAATAAGCAAGTTATGGGACCTTCAACGGAGGTTTCCTCCATTGTTGACCTATTAATTTTTTATTTTTTAAAAAATAAATTTTAATTTTTAATCTTTTCGATTTTTTATTTTAGAGGATACATACAATTTGATTGAGGATATATACTATGTTACGGAATTTGTATAGTTCGCTAGAGGATATGTGCAGTTTGGTAGAGGATACTTATAATTCATTGGAAGATATATACTACCTCCGGTCCAAATTACTCGCAACTTTGGGGTATTATTTGTGACATATAAAATATTCCAAAGTTGTGAGTAATTTGGACCAAAGGTAGTATTAGGTTAATTTTTAAATTACCACAAAAAAATATAACCATTTTTGAACTAACCACCCGTTTAATTTTTTATTTTAAATTACCACCCCTTAAATTAAATAAAGGGTTTTTTTATATAGTAGCCTTGTTTTTTCACTTTTCTACGTTGTGTCCCAACATATATCACTTTCTACACTGTAACCCTAATATATTTTTTGTTTCAATACGGTAACGTTGTCGTTATCCTGCCATTAAAAAATTCCGTTAGTGGGGTCCACTCTCCATTATTAATATTTTTTTTATCGATTTATGCGTTGAAAATAATATTCCGTCAAAGGTTTCGGGAGCTATTTTGGCTCTTAGGGGTCCAAATTGAGCTCAGATTTGGCAAAAAAATAACGTAAATGCCTCGTTTTGTGTGTTAAACTGTAAACACGTAAATCGATACATTTCTTAATAAGCAAAACGAGACATTGACGTATTTTTTTTGTCAAAAGCTCAGTTTGGATCCTTAAGGGCCAAAATAGCCCCGAAACCTTGGACGAAATTTTTCAACGCGCAAATTGATAAAAAAAAATATTAATAATGGAGAGTGGGCCCCACTAACGGAATTTTTTAACGACTAGGTTATTGTATGGAAACAAAAATATATTGGGGTTACAGTGTAGAAATTGATATATGTTGGGGCACAACGTAGAAAAGTGAAAAAATAGGGTTATTATATAGAAAAACCCTTAAATAAATGCTCAAATTACCACCCATTTTAAAAATCCGGTGGATTTTCCGTATGTAGGCCCCACCTAACACTTATTTTGACTGGTTTTTTTCCTCGATTTTTCTCTTTAAAAACGCTCTCTAAACTTTAATTCACATTTCCTTCACCAAATTCTACCAAATTTCAAAGAGAAAAATGTGAATTGAAGTTAGGAGAGTATTTTAAAGAGAAAAATCGGGGGAAAAAAATCAGTTAAAAGGGTCAAAATAAGCGTTGGGTGGGGCCCATAGACGGAAAAATCCACCGAATTTTTTATATGGGTGGTAATCTGAGCATTTATTTAATTTAAATGGTGGTAATTTAAAATAAAAAATTAAACGGGTGGTTAGTTCGAAAATGGTTACATTTTTGGGTGGTAATTTAAAAAAATTTCCTTTATTTTATATTATTCGATAGAGTATATGTAATATGTTAGAAAATATGTACATTAATTAGAGGATGTATAGTTTTTGATACTCCCTCCGTGTTTTTTTAAGTGTTATAGTTTGACCGGCACATAGTTTTAGGCAATTTAATTAACTTAAATAAAATAAGAGGTAAGTGGGATAGTTGGAGTATTAAAAAATTGTAAAAGAAAGATAGTGGGGTTAATAGTTTATTGAAAAGTAATGAATGTAAGAGGAAATATATGATAAAAAAGTAGTAGTGGGTTAGGGTGAGGACCATGAGGGGAGAGAGATATATAATTTTTTAATGTAGCATTTTGCCAAAAAAAATGAAGTGTAACACTTAAAAAAAACACGGTCGGAAATGGAAAGTGTAACACTTATAAAAACACGGAGGGAGTATAGGATATGTTAAGTTTATTGAAAGATATGAATTATTTTATGGAGGATATGTACAGTTTATTAGAGGATATGATCTATTTGATGTAGGATATATTCGATTTTTTAATGATATACATATTTTTTTTAATAGAATATCGGATATGTATAATTCATTAGATGATATAAATTAATTGATAGAGAATATATGTTTTGAGTAATTTTACCCATGCTGCGTAGTTCAATTAGACCTCGACACGTGTCATACCTTGGTTGGTCCGAATTGGGCCAATCTCGATTTGATACGTGTCCTTCCTAGAACTTGGGAGAAAAAAACTTCTTCAATGGCCCAAATTCCGAGAAAGCCGTAATTCGACGCAACCCAGAATGATTAGGTCAGAGTGACCAAATCAAGGGCACATTTCCCAATGACCCTATAAATAGGGAGATTTCTCCCATTTTTGGGGCATCTACAATTATTACATCATACCCTACACTCTCTTACATAAGAGAATCACCTGATCTCGGAATCCGAGAAGATCTCACCTCTTTTTCCGCACTTTCTCCCGTTAATCATCAAGTAATAATAACTTGATCGTCGGAGGTGGAGCTCCAACCACCCGGAGTCTTTGTTGTTTTGCAGGTATAGGCCGCACGCAACCAGTCTCTGAGCTATAACTCTCTTGAGGGACAAAAAACACCAAAAACATTTGGCGCAAATTTTTGGAGAGATTACCTCACGGATGGTTCAAGAGTCTGTACTACCTCCTGACCACCCGGTTAACTAGCCGGAGGTCTTTACTGACCAAAAGGATGATGATCCTCAGGTCGAAACCTACATAGCAAAGGGTGGCTCTCTGATTACCAAGTGCATCCGTCCCAGAGACACTCTAGAGCGGAGTGCAAGCCAGGCGAGGACAAGCCGACCCCCTGGCCAGTCGGAAGGGAAACCCATACGACAGGTGGATCTGCCCTAGTCACCCGGGACGAGCTCACAAAATTCATGACTAGTTTCAAGGGTAAAATCAAGGATCTAATGACCAAGAGCAGGGCTGGCCCAAAAAAGGGTCAGTCGGCAAGAAAGACTTCTCCAAAGAAGAGGAAGCCAGTCAGGGACAGGCAGCCAACTCCGCATCCAAAGGACAAGGCAGTCGGGACCCTTGATTGGTCCAAGATTCTTCTACCTCAGAAGAATACAAGAAACACCTGTCGGGGTGAACAACTGGTGGGAAATAAAAAATCTACTCCTGATGCCCAGGAAATCATCACCCGCAGGAGAAGTCAACAGCTGTCTGAGTCAGCATCTATGTCAAGATTTCCAGACAGCTTCAAGAATACATCCGTAGGGAATGCTGAATCCTTGCATGAGAGCCATACAGGCGGTAATACCGTCCACTCTGGCCTTCAGATGATCGGGAATGCACTATATGTACCCCTATGGTCTACGACCTGTATTCCTCTCTTTCATGCAGTCGGCCCTCTTTGGGCGTCACACGGCATACAATGTCCAACCTTTTGACTGGAAGCTCCGTTTGCTCAAACTTGGTGAACAAAATTCTACGTTTAATAAGGAGATAATCGAAGCCGCACAACCAGCCAAGGTTAAGAATGTGTTGGTGGGTGCTTATGATGGTACCACCAACCCGGAGGACCACCTCATGGCCTACTCCAACCTCATGCACACGTAGGGCTGGAGGACGCTATGCGGTGCCGGTGCTTCCCGGCTACATTGAAGGGCATTGCCCAACAATGGTTTGGCAACCTGCCAGCCGGGTGCATCGATAGCTTCAGGAAACTTGCTTTCCTGTTTGCCTCCAACTTCTCGATGAACATCCTTTCCGAATAAGACAAGTCTCGACT